GCTTGTCCAAAATTCTTTACAGTTGTTTCAGAATATCAACTTAATGAAGAAAGAAGCTGATGATACCTTTGTGATTATCATGTTCACTGAATTTGAACATTCAGTGAACATGATAATCACTTGTTAAAAGCAAAGAAATAATCACTACCATTGATTTTAAACAGAATAAATTACTCCTTCAAAATCAACAAAAATAAAATCTTTACTGCTTTTAATGACAAGAAAATGTGAGATAATCATAGAACCCAAAAGTTGAAGAGCAAGAACAGAGCAATGTTTCAATGTGTGGAAGAATGGAATAACACTTACTGCACAAATTAGGAGCTTAAGCTAATAAAGATTTGGCAACGATCAGGAACTCCATCTTTTTCTAGTGTTCTTAGGAATCAGAAAGTATGTTGAAGAAGCAGGAATTTATGAGATTCCTATGCAAAGTTCAGAGGGAAGCCTCTCAGCAAATGTAGACTTGAGACAGCAAAATCTTTAATTGAATAAGAAATGTTTTCATCCTGATCTAAGAAACATCATCTTTTAATTTATACAAAATGGATATAACAAATATAAATGCCATTACTATTTAACTTAAACTCAAATATTTTATAATTTTTACAGTTTGAATGTTATTTAAAACCAAACATGACAAATTCAAACAAAAATATTTAATCCATTAAAAACTAATTTTAAATAATGTTCAAACCATTAAAAGTTTTTAAATTAAATTCAAATATTTTACAAGCAACAGTATTTATATTTGTTATCTATGAATTATAAGCTGAAGTTGTACTGGAATCAGGACAAAAACATTTCTTATTAAATGAAAGATTTAGCTTCCTGAAGTAAGCATTTTAAAATCAATAATAATATAGTGTCAGAAATACATGAAATAGTATTGTAGCTTATTTGGTTTGGTCAAAAAGAAACTAGAAGTATTTTGTTTGTGCTGGAAAAATAGAATATGGTGGGCATGTAGGAGCAGTTATTAATATTTTGCATACAATAGCACCACAGCTGCACAGAGAAGCTACTTCTGAATGGGCTCACACATTGGTGTGAGCCCCATCCAATAAGGCACAGGTTCTCAAACTTATTTCAATCACTGCTCACTTTGAGATTAAAAAATCTAGTGCCCCCATATTTTTTAGCTTACCTTTTTACATTACCATCTGTTGCATATCTTAAAACCAGTTATTGCAAATATAATGTTTAAACATGCATTACTATATAGGATAGAATAGATAGGGTGTGACCCATATCCTATTTCTGAGATAAAAAAAATATACAATGAGAAGAAATAAAACTCATATTTAATCACAGTCTTCTACTGCCACCATGAAAGCCTCCAGTGCCCACAAGGGGGCGTTATTGCCCACTTTGAAAAACTATGCAATAAGGAATAGCATTTAGTCATTGAATTTCTGAAATTAGAGAAAGTTAAACCCAGTGAAATTCATTGTCAATTGGTAGCTGTTTATGACAAAAATGATTTGTCAAAATCACAACTCTTCCAATGGGCCAAGAGTTTCATACAGGATGGCAGGAAAACTCATGGCAGACTGTAGATGGCCATCACCAAAGTTAACAGTGCTACAACAAATGCCTTAATCCACAGTAACTGGTCTATCATTTTCATTGAAGTTGCTGACCATTTGCAAATCAGCCCTATGGCTCAGCATTCTCAATAATGTAAGATGTACTGTACAGTACTTAACTATAGAAATTGGATGATGATGTAGAAAAGGAGGTCATGGAATGGGTTTGCAAGCAGCAAGCCATTTTTATTACAAAAAAATAAAAATCTTGCGAAGTAGTGAGATATCTGCCTTAACCCTGAAGAGAGGAGTGGACTGGCCAGAAGGGCTGGTAATGTAGAACCTGTATATGTAAAAGTGCTGTTTGTTGAAATTTCCAAGTATTTATTACATATATCAAATGTAATTGACTATACATATACTTTTCAGTTTATTTTATTTCACTAAACCTTTCATAAACATTTTTTTAGAATATTAATATCTGACAAATAGTTAGTAAACTGGGCCATTGGTTCTGATGTTGCCAGACTCAAAATCAAGTCCCAGTCCGATACTGCCTCAGAGAAATATTTTGAAAAATATCAAATGATGTACCAAAAAACTAATTCTGGATACATTTTGACTGAACCAAGTATATTTGTGTATATTTCTTCCTTCTTAGGCAAGCCTGTCCTTATGTATTTCATATATTTGAATGATGGGCAGTCTTTGAAAGCTTGTAGAAAATAATGGAATAAGAGCTAATTGAGAAAAAAGAAAGATGGATTTGAGAATAGAGACAAGAAAAGAAGCTGATTTGAAAAATTGAGTCAATCATCGAAGGACTTGGAGCTGTTAATGTGACTCCAAAATATTGGCTATCATTACAATGAGTAAAAATTTCATGCTCTATTTATGCTAGGTTTCATAATTTCATGAGTTTAAATTTCATACTCTATTTATGCTATTTATGCTAGGTTTATTATATATATATATATATATATAATTTATATTAATATATATATAATTTTATATATATATATTTA